TAAAAAGAAGTAACTGATACTGGACTACAAAATTGCAAGGAAACATTTTTTCACTGTCCTACTTGATATATATTATATAATAATATGGTAGAATAAATTACAGTACCTGACAGGCTGACATCAGTTCTTCATCTAAAAAAAGACTATCATTCAGTTCGAGATAGTAAAAATGAATATGAAACATGCTCTAAAACATTGTAGCTACAAGAGGTCTTATATTTTCTCAAAAGAGGAATCTAATGAGAACTTTTATTTGGGTCTACCTAACATCTAGAGAACCTCCATGCGATTCCTTCTTTTCCAGAATGAGATTCCAAACTGCCCTTTTGAGGAGAGGGATTAGAGTTGGGTTTTGCTATTTAAATTGTAATCACATTGTAAGCAGATCAAGACCTATTTTAACCTGCCACCCATTCTAATGGAAACTGCACAATGTAGGGCACTCATAAAAAATGTAAAACAGGAAAGAAAGGCTGGAATACCTACACTCCCACCATCCATTTCCCTTCTCATAAATATTATACCAAAAAGGAAGCCCACTCTCAAAGTTCATGACCTCTCTACTTTGGGTCACCTTGAGTGCAGTCTACATGTTTCCATTTACCATTAAGAACAAGTACTGGAAGCAGTACTTGTCTTAAAACTGGAGTTTAAGCCTAAAGGGTTCATTCAACTGGGGGCGATTAAAATATTGCTACTTTTAGAGCACTAACACACACAAAGTGAATCCAATAAAGTTCTGTGTATTGATTCAATATTAATTATTAACTGCATGACCATCATAGCACCTCTTTACATCACAATCACCAGAATTAGCAACTGCTTTGAAAACTGAAAACAGGGCACAGTCCAAAAATGAGAAGTTGCACACTGTTACTACATAGAAATCAGGTGCATGGTACAGTGCTGCTGTGCAAAAATGGAAGCCTGCAGATTTGACAAGGAAGCCAAATCGTGTTTTAGATAATTTTAGGAACCTGGCAATACTGTTGAAGCAAAATACTCAACACAGCAGGAAATGGAGAGAGAAGAAAAAAAAAGCATCCTATAACCAAATAAACATCTGATATTTCCTTTCCCTTTGAGAATAAATACAGTTAAGGTCACTTTTAGCCTTGGAACGGATATATGTTTGCCTATGATGATCTTGCTAACTACACAATATCTGATGTCCTCTGCTAGGATTATAGTTTTAAGAAAGCCATGGTTACAAGAGGCATCTACTGTAAAGACCTAGAACTTCCTTTTATGGCAACCACTATAGAATTCACTTGTCTTAGAAACAGTGAACAAGGGAAGATGGCCTCATGTTTCCTTTGCAATAATAGTATATGTTGAGGATCAAGTGGCTTTCAAGCAGCATGGTGGGTGTGAAAATGTTTTCAGTTTAGATCATTCTGTTGCGTTTATGGGTTGGTGAGTCTGTAATGACATCGCCACACTGGGCTGAGGTACGCTTTCTAGTTCCACCATTGTCCAAGTGGAGTGCCATTTCTTCTGATATGAAAGTGTTCAAATCGACATCATGGAGTCCATTTCTCCTTCGACTAGCATTCGATCCACTGCTTACATGTGTAGGAGAGCCTGGGGTACTCGAACGCACGCTTATACTAGCCATTGCACCACTAAGACCTAGGAAGAAGAAAAAAGGTTTTAGAGTTGCTCAATCATTCAACCCTCTTGAAAGCAACCCACTTTACTTTCAATGTTGTCATAGTGTCAAAGGATGTCTGCCTATTTTTTTTTTTTTTATTTTTTTTTTTGTAAGGGGTCCCCAGAGAGCAAAGCTTTATTCTGGAAAAAGAAATTGTTTGGCTTTTCACATGAGACGTTTTATTGGTAATGCTACCAATATTTATAATATTGGTAAGTACCAACTATTGGAAGCTTATATAGCAAGCGCCATGCTAGGTGTACAAACAGATCATGAATTCCTCCCTGTACTGTATATGCAATTTATAGCAGACGACAGAAGGCACTTGTTTTAAACAATTTCAGTTATTGAAAGTCACCATTCCACGCCGAAAGCAGTTTAGCTCAGTGGTCGGCCTGCAGACTGAAAGGTCCCCGGCTTTGATTCTAGTCAAGGCTATGTACCTTGGTTGCGGACACATCCCCAGTAGGGGTGTGCAAGAAGCAGCTGATAGATGTTTCTCTCTCATCAATGTTTCTAACTCTCTCTATCCCTCTCTCGTCCTCTCTGTAAAAAAATTTTTAAAAAAAGTCTCCATTTCAACAGATCCCTCTCTCTGGTGTGTCTGTGGATATGAAAGGGTGACGGTGTGTGTGTACATGCACAAAGGGGGAACAAGCAATCATTCCAAGCTTGAGTGGGCTTTCAACATCCCCTTCTAGATGAAGCATCTTTATAATTTGTCATCCAAAACAGTACACTATTAAACCCAAAAAACAGGTCCCTGCTATAAATTTTGCTGGGACATAAAGTCCTAAATGAGCCTTCCCTGGCCCGCCAGCATGGCTTTAGTGGTTGAGCATCAACCTATGAACCAGGTCACAGTTCAATTCCCAGTCAGATCCCTAGTAGGGGGTGAGCAGGAGGCAGCAGATGGATGATTCTCTCTCATCATTGATGTTTCTCTCTCTCTCTCCCTTCCTCTCTGAAATCAATAAAAACATATTTTAAAAAACAAGTCTGCCCTGGACAACATGGGCTGCCTGATTACTCAAGTTCTGGACTCTATTTGTTAGATACTCCCTTAGGACAACCTAACTCATTATCATCTATAATCCTTTAGAGAGTGGGGAAGGGCAAGAGAACCATAAAACATCCTGCTGTTTTGCTTGCACAGTGAGTTATTAAATCCAGAAAAAACTCAACACTCATTGCTGAACACTCAATGCCTTCCTCTCTTGAACGGTTGAGGCAAACATGTTCTACTCAAAATATTTAGGATAAACCTGTAAAAGGCATGAGTGAGACAAGAAAACATAAACCACAGCATTGAATTTAAAAACCTAACACCATTGACAGTGGGTATTTCTTCTCATGAATTTCCCCTTATGCTATTCTAGCATCACCATGGGATTTTGTTGTTGCTTGATTAAACTTCTATAACATGATCTAGTATAATCAATGTTTCCAAAGAGTTAAGACTTAAAATAAGCTTACAGGTTGGCTTCATTCTAATTTTATGATTTGTAAATATGATTTAAATGTGAATATTAAGTTCAAAAAGAATTCTCTACTTCCTACCACTTCAAATCCATTAAATGCCCTGACATTGTTCCCACTATACAAGTACTGTGGATACTTTCAAGCCCACAGCCTCAACCACCTTCCATATGCTAAGCATATTTCTGAAGTTCACACCTCTTCTAAAAGGCTCTAACCAACCTGCCCCTCACTGCTCTCCCTGTAGACAACACATCCAACCCTTCCCACTGATGGCCAGAAGAAATTTGATCATGTCCCTTTTAAGCTCTAAACATCATTCCAAGGCTAGCACCTATTAAGAAAATAAAGTACAAGCACTAATATTGGAGCACTTACTGTGTCCAGCACTACACTAAGTACTTTTCAATTTCATCCTCAAAATAACCCTGATACCTGTATTGTTTCCATTTTGTAGATGAAATACCAAGATTAAGTGAGCCACCCAAGGACACACAGCTAAATAAAGCAAGAACTGAGACATAACCTCAAGTAGATTCCATATTCCTATTCACTGTTATAAAATATTTTAGAGTGAAGTGACTTTAGGGTCTAGGGCCTGGCCTGCCTTAGGCCCCATCTCTTTGAAGTTACTCTCCTTTCCTAACTTCCTCTCCCCCCATAAGACTGAATGGTGCCTGCCTATACCCAAGAATTTGCAATTCCTACAATGACTGGGCCTGTACCTATCTTCCAACATCTGCTTCCCACTGATTAACTAGTTAGTAATAATAGAAAAGGAGCAAAAGGGAAGCCAGACATTACAGGCATGTCATTTGGACCATGGAAGCCTAGCCGAGCCCCTCTCCTATCTGGTCTCAAACCTCCCTTCTGAGGGGTTCTTCCCTGGTTTTCCCACCTCTCCTATTTATAGTCTCTTGTGGACTCCTCTTCCCTCAAACTTAACATTTGCAAAAGGAACTGTACTCCTCCTTTCCCCGCCCACACAGGCTAATTTAAAAAAATAAAAGGAGGGAAAGCAGCATTTCAGGCTCATTTTCTAGAATAGTACAGTACCACCATATCATCATTCAACTCTTCCTAAATTGTCTTTTCAACTCTAGCTAATTAATTTAATACAGTGCCTGGCACATAACATTGACTGAATTCTGAAAAATAATGATGTTTCAGAGTCTTATCCAATATTCTAAAATTCAAAGCTGTTAATGTTTATTCACTTCTCCAACACCAGAAAATAACTCAAGTAGCCCTCTTCACTTAAAGCTTTGCCATCAATTAAAAATTCAATTATTCCCAAATTACTGGCATTTTTTAAAGTTCCTCACCAATTCTGTAAACTCTGAGAGCTGTGTCTGTAACCTCATTCCTCACAACATACTACTAAAAGATGTACAAATACTCTAAACAATAACCATCATACTTGCTCCATAATGCAGAAGGTTCTAAGGTAATTATACTGCAAATTTTGGACCTTCAGCAATAAACTACTTCAGTAATTCAACTCAAAATATGCTTTGAAACCACACACACAAAAGAAATCGACCCCACCCCAATGCTCAGTTCCATGGCAGTATGATTTAACACCTAAGGCTCATAAGTCACTCCATCAGAAGTGAACAGGCACATTCTCCATGAAAAATATGAGCGTAAATATCAATTTGAAAATTTCCCAGTAACATGCACAAAATCCATCTTTTTCTGTTGGGTGTTTGACTTGGGTTTAGAGTGACAGCTAAAGTAAAATCACAATGTGCAACATTACCTACTCTCAGCAGTGAGATTTCTTTTCAAAGTTTAACTAATCTTCCCCAAAAAGACTTTTCAAGTGTCAAAAAATAAATAAAAAAAATTAACAACCAAAAAAATGTGTATTTTAAACAGCCCAAATTTTATTTAATAAACCAATGACAGCTACTAGAAGATGCTTTAGAAACCTTAAGCTTAGAAAGCTAAGCCACATGAACAATCAGGCCTATACAAGTACAGAGAATCCAGACATGCTTCAGAACTAAAAATGAAGTTGCATAGCCCAAGGGCATACAACCAACAAAAACACACTTTTTCAAATGGGCTATGGGAATATCAATTGACAAAAAGCAATAGAACAAGTAGTATGATTAGACAGAAAAGTCTAAATTGCCTAATACAAGATAAACTTTATCAGTTTCAAAGTTTCTGCATCCATTTTAAATGATTAGTGAAGAAATGAGGGAGAAAAATTAGAATTTAATCATACTTTGAAAAGAAAGCTCCCACTGGAGCTAAAACAAAGTTACAAGTCCAGGTTACAGGAATCTAGGTTACATGGTAAATTGTTAAAAGCAGCATATTAACTATTATTTTCATATCAAGTTCATGCTTCGAATAATAAGAAAATCCTGTTTTGAGAATTACATGTGATTCCAGCTTACCAACACATAGTTAGGTCACATATAGGCAGTGAAAGAGCAAATACAAAACCAATCCACCTCCTTCCTCCACCAGCAGCCCCTGGCCTGGAAGCCAGGTCTACACACTCTATTTGCTTACCACACCCCACACCCAGCCCTGTGAGGGCTAGCCCTGAAAGAGAAGGCAGACGGTTATTACTATTGATTTACTCAGCAAGACAGGTTCAGGACCCTCTGCAGATCTGCTCCACCAGTTTTCTCGCCTCCAGCAGAAAGGGGGGGATTTGAAATCTCCACAACTAGAACAAAGTGGTTAACATCCTAACTGAACTCTAAGAAACTGCTATTCATGCATTTGAAATGAATTGCACTATTCAAATGGTAGCCCTCTCTTTTCACAAAGTTGTGTTCAGAGGCTTTAAGCAAAAAGCACTGTGTGTAAGTGTGGTGGGGAGTTCAATCATTGAAAAAGAAATTCTACTAGGAAGATTTTGGTAATTTGAAGTAGACCACTCCCCACCCAATCTGGAAATTTTAATACTGAACTTTTATTGAAGCAAAGCACACTAAATCAAATCAATTACAAAGATACATGTGTCACACCAAGAAAACATTTTCAGTTATGCTGACAGCCCAAAATGCTTTCAATTTTTCAAAGACAGTTTCAATGCCATGGGAAAATGCTCATGTTAAAATGAAAAAAAGCAAGATACAGTACCACATATGCAGTATGATCTCAACTATGAAATAATTTTAATATTTATACATTGGGGAAAAAAAACTGGATAAAAATGCACCAAACATTTAACTGCTGTTATCTTTATATAGTTGGATAACAAGATACTGAATATTTACTTTTCGGAAATTTTCCAATTTTCCAAGAAATCAGTATTAATAAATCAGAAAACTAGCAAAAAAATAATAAATGCAATTGTTAAGTCCCTTCATTAACTACCAATGATTTTTTTAAAAAGTTCTAGGTGAATAAACTGGCTTTGAGGCATGGCTACATGAATTCCTTCATCTATATGGACTCCTTTTTCACCTTAATAGGGAAAAAAGGCCATCAAAATTTTATTGCAAGTTCAAACAATTTTGTACCATTGATGTTGGAAGCTTTAGTTAAGTCCTATACCCCCAGAAAGTTCAGCAGCTTATATCTAACATTAACATACAGAAAATGCCAACTTTTCATCAAAAATTTAAATACTATCTTGCCTTAATTTTTCTTATTCTCAGAGGCTGGTCTGAACAAAGGGCATTAGTTTAGAAATTCCAGCCTTAAGAGAAATTTTAAAAAATATCCTTTGAAATAATTGATCTTAAGCAATTAAGAAATGATATGGCTTTGGTGCATTAATCTCATATCTTGATTTCCAAGTAAGTCCTTAAACATTTCACTGTTAAGTAACGCTTGACAGCTCTGCTATTCAAGAAGATACAGATTACAACATTCAAGCATTTATTAAGAACCTACAGTTCCACACACATTGTGCTAGAAGTGTGGGTAAGAGGAAAAAACGGGGACTTTGAAAGGTGGATGTACAGAAATCCCCCACAGGTCAGTTCCAAATAATCCTCTGCAACAGACAGTTCTAAGGAGTTCCTTTTATAACATTCCATCAGTTTAAGAATAGTCAATCTAAATTTTTGTGCTCAACTGTCAAAGTTTGTGTCTAAATATTTAGCTTTACAAATGGAAGGGATGAAGAGTGATAGGGAAGGGGGAGAGACAGAGAACCAAGCACAATTACTTAAATTTCTTCTGAAATGTACCAGACAGACCTCAATTGTTTAAGACAGTGGTCGGCAAATTCATCAGTCAACATAGTGGCAAACCGTGGCTGGAGAGCTGACCACTGGTCTAAGAAATTTTAAGAGGAAGATTTATTAACTTCTATTATCACTCTAGCGCACCCAGGCCAAACAATAAAAAAATAACAAAAGCTGTAAAACCTGTGCTCAATGAGAAAGACAATCCTGTTGTGGTTCAGGCTGCCCAGATTAAATTTTCCATAAATTCTAGGGGAAAAGTGTTTTACTCAGTTTGAGTAACAAATTAAGAATTTACCTTACATTTTTTTCTAGGAACAAATTCCTAGCTGACCTTAAATTCCTGAAAACAATTTCTAACAATTACATTTTTCTTATAGGCCCTATACCCAGTTTTCTACAGATTCAGGGATTTGTCAAATAATTTAATGATTTGTGAGAATAAGGATCTCCACAACCTCCCGAGACTTTGTTAGGCCAAAAGGGAGAAAACAGAATCGGAGCCTACTAACTCCTAAAGTGTTGGCACTGTCCATCTTATTGCCTGAGTTTATAAACTTCAAACTGTCTAATGATATTCTATTAGGCTAGAAATTCCTTGAGATTACTTGATTCTCCTTTGTATCACCCTGCTCCTATCACTAGCCTCTCTAATATAGTGCTTGCTATTTACTGTGTTTAGTAATTGTTGGGCAACAGGAAAGGCTACAGGATAATATAGACTTTATTTTTTAAATGACTACAACCTTCCACAGAAGGACTTTAATTGCAAAAATTAGAATTTTCTAACACTGCATCCACACACACACACAAAACCAGAAACATAACAAAAAAAAGCTTTCAATTTCAATACTCACTAAATAGGTAAATTGTTATTTCTTAAAACAAAACAACAAACACTTTACTTTTGTTTTCCTTTTTCAAATTCTCCAGTGTTGTATTAAAGACTAGACTACCTATGTTTGCCTAAGTCCTTTCCAGCACTTACATTGTATTTTTAAAACTTGTTTTAAACAAAATAAACTTGAAATTGGACAAGGTAACATTTTAAAACCAAATGCCACTTAATAGCAATAGTTCCCACCAGACAGGAAACTCTCTGTGCTAGAGGCCTTTGAGTTTGAACTGATGAATTTTACGAAGGGTTAACCCAGGCCCAGTAGGATTAGTTCCTAGTACAGCAATAGAGATTACCAAAATGACTTTTGGAACTAAAACAATGTGCCTCTGATTTTCCTAGAACAGTCTGAACCAGGGCCAGAAACCTACAAAGACCACCTATGAGATTATTTAAATGAAAGCAAGGCTTTGAATAAAGTTTGAGTGAATTCTGCCTTGGCATCCTGCTTCCTCTTCCATCTAGGTCTCCATCTTCTCCCTATATGAACACATGTCCCATTCTTACTCTGGACCGTTATAACATCTAAATCCCATGATGACAAACAGAACTCAGAATAAAGACTAGATTTCAATTTAAGGCTTTTCCAGACACACCACTAGCTTGGACTAGCCAACTCAGAATCTCTCTCTCCATACAATAGAAAGAGAACATCGCCAACCTCACTGGTTTATATCAACATGAAAGAAGCTCAAGGTCTTAGCCAGTAATTTAATTAACATTAAGTTGTAAGTTATTCCTGTCCTTCTGGAGTGATTTCTGAAAATTTAAAAAGCCACCCTTAATAGAAAGGGAGGGGAAAAAGTACTCTCGAAGGCCACTGGAACTCTAATTTTGCATTCAGGGACAGTGAGAGCACTCATAGGACTTAGAACCAACCAGAGGTCCGGCTCCTAAGTCAAAGAACACTTACACAGTGAGGTGGAAAGGTAGGTACTTTGCATAGTTTCTCACTTACTACATCACCTTATTAACGAAGTATAACACCTTTTACAACAAAGGAGGAGACTGCCTTGTAGTGGCTAACAATCTTGCCCAAGGTCATACTGGTAAAGTATTCTGTATACAAAGTTTAAATGGTCACAGATCTTCAAGCCTACTTGTCCACATTTCCTTATGGGGCAAACACCAAAAGATACAAAATTCATGTATTTCCTGATGTCCTTAGAAAAGTAAGCCTGGAGACCTATCCCATCCCATCCCCTAGTCCTACCAAGGGGAGGGAGTAGAGAAACCCCAAATGTTCAAACTTAGAGGCACAGCGGTTAGGAGCCTTCATTTAGATATTCAGATAGATCTAGAATATCTATTTTACTACTTACTGATTGCTTCCATTTTATCCAAATAAACCTTTCTTCACTGATAAAATGGCAATGACTCAAGGTAAGAGTGAAAATTGAAGGAGACCCTCCTTATCAGCAGGGTGCTGATACCAAGTAAACACTAAAAGTATAGTTCTTATTATGAGTCATCCTCAGGGCCCACTCCACGTCTTGGTTGTTCTAATTTAGGTTTACTTTGTAGCACTCCTAAGGTACACCAGTTAGTGTACACTTATCGTAGTCATCTAGGGAACTGTATCCTTAACTCTTTCTAAAGCAGTGGTTCTCAACCTTTCTAATGCCTCAACCCTCTAATGTAGTTCCTCATGTTTTGGTGACCCCCAACCATAAAATTATTTTTGTTGCTACTTCATAACTGTAATTTTGCTACTGTTAATGAATCGTAATGTAAATATCTGTGTTTTTGGATGGTCTTAGGCGACCCTTCTGCTGTAGAGCCTAACACCATCGGAAAACACAGATATTTACATTACGATTCGTAACAGTAGCAAAATTAGTTATGAAGTAGCAACAAAAATAATTTTATGGTTGGGGGTCACCACAACATGAGGAACTGTATTAGAAGGTCACGGCATTAGAAAGGTTGAGAACCACTGTAAAGGTTCTTTGCCCACACTGTGTTGTACCCATTTACCTAACAGGCCTCTGAACACATTACACCCAGAACACATCTACACCATGTTCTGTTAAAGGCAGAAGCTGTGAGAGAAGGCCCTTTTCCTAAGGTAGTTCTGTCTACTGGAAGGAAGAGCCACGGAAACAATTCATACTGATGAGCAGAGATAATGTCAGGGAAAGATTGAGAAAATGAGGACTGACAGAAAGCAGTCATAAAAGAGACTTTTAATCAATCTGAAAGGATAAACAGCACAGGGAAAATTTCAAAAAAGAGAATGGAAAAGACAAAAAAAGAAAATGGAGGTAAGTCTTTAATAGATCAAACAGTGTGACTAAAGTACCTGACCCAAGGTTATGACCAAGTCATAAGGCCCTTGCAATGCCACGCTGAGTTCTGACTTCACTCTATAGGCCAGTGGTCAGCAAACCACTGCTCACGAGCCCAAAAGGCTCTTTGGCCCCTTGAGGGTGGCTCTTCCACAAAATAATACGTGCGGGTGTGTAGGTACAATGCGATTAAAGGAGTACCCTAATTAACAACAATGTACCTATCTATATAGTTTAAGTTTAAAAAATTTGGCTCTCAAAAGAAATTTCAATCATACTGTTGATATTTGGCTCTGTTGACTAATGAGTTTGCCAACCATTGTTATAGGCCTTAGGAAAACAAAGGTTATTTTTTCAGTAAAGAGATCCAAAAGATACACTCCCAGTGTCCCCAGGAAAGACGGACTGGCAAATGGGTCAATTCAGGACTGGGAAATAAGAGCAGGAAGATTATTCCTAGAGCCCAGGTCTCACTCCTCCAGAGAGCCTTTTCTGAATCCATAGCCAGGCTGCCCCAGAATATCTTACACATAACGGGCTTCAGACATTAAATCACAACGGCGTTGGCCTCAATAGAAAAGCAATCATTCCATTCATTTATACATGCCCAGAGACTTCATAAAATCTACATATACACACTTGCTATATGGTTAAATGAGGAAAAGACATATTTGCTGTGGCTGGGGCAGAAAGGATGAGTCCAATTTGAAATCTGTGAGATAAATGCTTGTGGGACACCTGTGGAAATGTCCACCAGAAGACAATGGGGCACATTATATTTGGCAGTAAGGAGGGTCTAAACTGGAAGTATAAATCTTGAAAATTAAGATTGAGAGAGCATGAGGAAAAGTCTGAGCCTGAGAAGGAAAAAGGATGACTAAAAGAGGGACAATGAGAAAGGTAAAGAGAGAGAGGAAGAGAGGGGAAGAGGGGGAGAAAGGGAAAGGGAAAGGAGAGGGGGGGGGAAAGAAGGGGGGAAGGAGAGGGAGAGGGAGAGGGAGAGGGAGAGGGAGAGGGAGAGGGAGAGGGAGAGGGAGAGGGAGGGAGGGAGGGAGGGAGAGAGAGAGAGAGAGAGAGAGAGAGAGAGAGAGACATATCAATGATGAGAATCGTTGGTGGGCTGCCTCCAGCACATCCCCTACTGGGGATGAGCCCACAACCCAGGCACGTGCCCCCTTGGTCAGAATCGAACCCAGGACTCTTCAGTCTGCAGGCCAACACTCTCTTATTAACTGAGCCAAACCAGCTAGGGTGACTTTTTTTTTATTGAAACTGTTAGGTAACCATTAACTGACGCACTTGATTTAAACTGTATAAAGTCTAAAGCTGATGAAGGTATTGATCAGAGGGATCTCATCCTCAATGTCTACATGAAGTACTCTACAAATATCTTACATCTTTGCCATTTTCTTTGAATAAAGAGCATACTTTAGGTATATTTGGGTGCATTTGGTACAAGTGAGAATTTAGAAGCTGATAAAGAAAAAACTAGCCATGACCGGTTTGGCTCAGTGGATAGAGTCGGCCTGGGTCCCAGATTCAATTCCAGTCAAAGGCATGTACCTTGGTTGTGGACAAATCCCCAGTAGGAGGTGTCAAGAGGCAGCTGACTGATGTCTCTCTCTCATCGAATTTCTAACACACTATCCCTCTCCATGCTCTCTGTTAAAAATCAATTAAAAATTTTTTTAAAAGATTATCCGAGAGAGAGAGAGAGAGAGAGAGAGAGAGAGAGAGAGAGAGAGAGAAAAGAAAAAACTAGAAAGCTAATTGTCCTCTGGTAAAAATGGATAGGACATGAGATGTGAATCAATGTGACCCACACTCATGTTTGCTTTGATTATAAACTCAAGAAATCTGCCTCAATATACCAGTTGTCTTTTTTTTTTTAACCTATGCCTCCTCTTGCATTCCAAACTTCATGAAGTTAAATTCTTCCTTCAATTGTAGAACTCCAAGAAGTTCAATTTGACCTCACAATTCATGTATTTGGCTAAGCAAATTATATGCAAAACTGAATTCTGACAAGTATGTGCCCCAATTAAGATGCTTCAAAACATTTTAAAAGATCATCTGAACAATTTTCACTTCAATTTACAGACTATTCAATAAAACAGATCACGAGTCGTTACAAAGTTAGTCATTGAGCTGTATATACAATTTACTTAACAATACCCTACACCAATGGTCAGCAAACTGCAGCTGTGGCTCGAGAGCCACATGCAGCTCTTTGGCCCCTTGAGTGTGGTTCTTCCACAAAATACCATGGTTGGGCAAGTCTACTTCGTTAGAAGTTTAAAAAATTTGGCTCTCAAAAGAAATTTCAATCATTGTACTGTTTTTGCCCTGTTGACTAATGAGTTTGCCGACCACTGCCCTACACCACTGAAAATAATTCAAATTAATTTAAACACTCAAATCAGACTAGTATCCCCAATACGCTGGCATTCTTTAAAACCACTAGAGCACAAAACTCAGTATAAATTATGTTTCGGGATATTCTTTCAAGGGGCCGTATTACTTCACCACAACACACATAATTTTAACTACATTAACTTAGTGTGTAAGAACCCTAGTAATAAGTGGTCTCCAATATATTTTGGATTGGCACTACTTGTTACTGGTAAATTTATTGAAGGAAAAGATTCTTTTTCTACACAGCTTTTTAAGTAAACTTTTTTAAACGCTCACAATTTAAACTAAGTTAAAACTATAAAGAATTCCTTCTTAAAACTTTATCATCAAAATTCCCTAAGTTTAGTAAAATAATGAATCACAAATTGAACAGATTCAATTTAAAAATATATAAGGGGGCCGAAACCGGTTTGGCTTAGTGGATAGAGCGTCAGCCTACGGACTGAAGGATCCCAGGTTCGATTCCGGTCAAGGGCATGTACCTTAGTTGCGGGCACATCCTCAGTAGGAGGTGTGCAGGAGGCAGCTGATCGATGTCTCTCTCTCATCGATGTTTCTAACTCTCTCTCCCTCTCCCTTCCTCTCTGAAAAAAAAAAAAAAATCATAAAAAAATATATTAAAAAAAAAAAAATATATATATATATATAATATATATATATATATATTTAGAGTTGAAGAATATAGTAGCTGTTTGGGAGGGAGGCTGGCTTGCCCTTTGTACAATGTGGGCAAAAGTAGTTTTATAGTTTTGAGTAGGTACGGAAAACAGAATTTATTCTTCTATTATTGTTTATTAATTATTGTATTATTTTCCAAATGAACTGTAAACCTACTTTTGCCCACCCCTGTATATAACTGCATCAGAACTGAAAACAAGAGTGGCACTTACGTTTCTCAAAACTACCTTCTGAAGTATAATATTGCATAACACAGAAAGACACTTTATCAGGAAAAATACCGTATGAGTTATAAATTCCCCTGATAAAAAAAGAAGCAAAACGCTTAAGGAAAGACAACTATATCAAACATTACCATGCCTTCAAATTAATCTGACAGCCCTGGATGGGTAGCTCTACTGGTTAGAGGGCTGTTCTCATATGCCAAGGTTTCAGGTTCAATCCCCAGGTCAGGCATGTATAAGGATCAAACTATCAATGCATAGATGAGTGGAACAACAAATTGATGTTCCTCACTTGCTCTCCTTTTCACTCTAAAAATCAATTTCAAAAAATTTTAAATAAATTAATTTGACAAACTATACTTTTAGTAAAACTTTCCAAATTAATGGTAAAAGATGTGAAACTCTATAATTCAGATAAATTTGTATTTTGCCTGAATTCCAAAAGTTCTGATGGCATAACTGTTCCACTCTATTAGAGAGAGCAAGCAGTAAATATCACATACATCATAGTTTCCTGCAATAAATGTTTTTGTATTTTTAATTTATCCTAAACTAACTCACAATGGGGGGGGGGGGGGAGAGAAGAATAAACACTTTTTTCAAATCCCATGTTCTAGTTTTAAGATAAAGAATCCAAGTTTGCTGAACAAGAATCCCTATAAGCATTAAAATTTCAAGGATATAAAAGCCCTTTGTGTATATCCCACTATTTTTATTATCAGCTTACTTTGTTTTAAATGACCTACACTATGGCCCAAATGTTAACTTTTAACAGGACTCACTAATCACTTCTATATGCTTAGTCACTGGCACAATCCATGTTTCACGTTGGCTTCAACCAAGTCTTTTATTTTTATAGCAGTATTAAATGTTGTCCTATACAAGTATTTCTCCTAGTTCTATTTGAAATTCTGTATTAGAGAACAAGCAACAACAGACTCATTGACTACGCACATCCCCAGGCTTCTCCAGTATTACTTAAACCCCTCGGCCAAGAATGCCTTTTTTTATGGCAGGTTGACCTGGGGAGATGGTAGCAATAATTAATGAAGTGGACCTGTCCTCTGACAGTCTGCCTAACAAAGCCAAGGACCTAAGGGACAATAGACAAAAGTGAAGTCGATTATTCTCCCCTTTATTCACTCCCACTTGGGTCATCAACTCTCACCTACAGGCACATGAACTTAGGATGTCAAAGTAGTTCCCATGAGAGCTATACCAACCTATCATTGACTAAGCTCCTCCAGGAAATTATTACTCTGGTAGAATTCTTAAAACACAAGAACTTCCTCTTTGCCTCAGAGAGTAAGAAAACATGTACAATATTAGTGTGAAGCAATAAATTCTCATCAGTGCTGCAAAAGACTGTGTTATTGTAAATTCAAGAAACTCAAACTAACTTTCTAAAAATATTTAGAATGGGATAGCTAACATTAAAAAATTTGCCCATGTGTTCTTTGCTTCCATTCTATTTAAACATTTCTAGAGCAAGTAGTTACTATAATGGAAAAAAAAGACCATATATCTGGACCTAAACCTAAATATAAAATGGATCCACAGGCACACTCTTAACTATGTTCCAAAGAAATGTTTAAACGGCTTTACCATGCAGAGCTATGGCTTCCCGGAAGGGTTGCAAATCAGTCTCTACAGATGAGCTAGTTTCCGTTGAAGTAGCTCGGTTAGGGGAC